GAAATAGATAAATATGCATCTCCCTGATAAAAGTCTGGTTTGTAGGCACAGTAGGATAGTAGCTTTGCCAACTAAAAGGTATACCTACATCAGAGGTCCTTGGTACACTCGCTGAAAACTGTGTTGGTGTAGATGCGCAATTGGTGGTGTTTCTGCCAGAGTGAGGCTTGATCCAGGAAGTGTTGGGGTGTTTCTAGGTGACCTTAAATCTGTTGGTTCCCTGGATCCCCAGATCAGGCCCCTTAACCATGCTATCCTGAAGCTAGTACAGTGGAACCTTGGTTTTCCATTGTCTCAGAAGTCAAACGTTTTGGCTTTTGAACACCGAAAACCCGGAAGTAACTGCTCCTGTTTTCGAATGATTTTCAGAAGCCAAATGTGCCACGTGGCTTCCATGTTCAGTTTCCCTATTGTATTGAGGCTTCCATGTTGAGTTTTTGGTTTTCGAACGTTTTGGAAGTCGAATGGTCTTCCGGAACAGAATACGTTCAGAAACCAAGGTTCCACTGTATAGTTGTTGTTTTTTTGTTAACCACTGGCAAATAAAAATGCCTTCCAAAGCATTTAGTAAGAAACTCCAGCCAGACCTGTAAATGGTGCATTGTTCACTTAGTTTCCCCCTCAAAAAACCAACCCTTATGCTGCCTCTTGTTGAAGATAGAAACACCTGAGATCTCACGTGCTTGCAGTATAGCAGTGAGAGGTTACAAAATCTTTGTGTTCTTTTTTTGCAGATTTAGGGTGGGAGGGTCCCATTCAAAACTAAAAAAAACCCCATGCCTGTGGATTAATAGTTGGCGCTCACCATCTTTTAGCTGAGGATCCTGAATAGCATAGTTTTGATAGTGCTATGGGAATTGTTTGCTAAAATTTCATAGTGTAAAAGTCTAAATAGCCTTTTTTTCACAGCAGTGGAGAAAACTGTTGACAATGTGACATCCCTATTAAAATGTGTGTTGAATAGGGCTCCATTTTCCTTTTCCTTTTTTCTTAAAGGAAGTATAGAAATATTTTGCTTTCCACAGAGTGATTTGGTGACAGCTTTCTTTTCTCTGTCATCTTCCTCAGGGGATGAAAACTGGCTAGATCTTTCATTTTTGCATGAAAATAACTTTATCTTTTAAACATTGAATTCAAAAGTCCTTTTGTCTGGTTTTTGTGAATACCAGCTTTAATGGATGATTATGTAGAATGTGTCTGCTAGGCACAAAATTGCTCAAAGTGAAAATAATCTGGGATTTTGTCTCCTAAAGGCTCCCTCAGCATCCTGAGAACTTTAAAACAGCCTTATTTGATCAGACAAAGGATTTCCCTGCTCAAATATCACTTTTTCAAAAGTGGCCAACCAGATGATTTAAAGAAGCCCACATGTAAGACAAGGAGAAAATAGCCATTCCATGTTTGTTCACCAAAACACTGTAATCAGTGGCATACTATCTCTGATCCTGGATGTTTAATTTAGCTCCTAGGCTTTGAGAGAACTGGCCTCCCATGAGTTTGTCTAATATGAATTCAGCTAAAGGGAAGATCTAATATTTGGCCTCCCCAAAGGGAGTCAAGTGAAGTTTGTAGTAAATTTGGGAGTCTGTATTTTGTCAAAGGAACTTGGGAGGGTTAGGTTGGGTTTGAATGGGCTTCTGGTCTTTCCAAAAGTGGAGTGTGACAAATGAGGTTTATATAGGCATTTGATTTCCTCCAAAGGAACATGGTTACTCTTGGTGTGTGTGTAGACACCTGACTTTGGTCAAGTAACAGGTACCCAAAGTAACAGGGTTCAATTTACTTTGTGCAGATAACCCGTGAAGCTAACAGTCTTTCAAACATATTTCTCTAAAGATCAAATTATAACTCAGGCCTAGAGACTAATGATTACATATATCACGAATAACCCCTATCAGAATTTTATGAATCTTTGTTAAGTAGCATTCCCTTATCTGAGCTTATTATGATAATTCTTATCATCCCAAAAAAGTGTGAGGCATATCAAAGTGAGTTTTCAGGGGTTAAGCGGGAGGAACAAATGATGTGCACAGTGGGAGAAAGATGGCAAAAAAAGAAAGCTGAGAAGGAATCACCTTGAAGGAAAATGGATGGGATGGTTTTAGTATTTATGACATGAAATCCATCCTTGGATAACATGGTCCATGAAAGCTTTTACCACATTAGGATACCAAAATACCCTGTATTTGTTTTTGGTGCTACGAACTAACATGGCTAGCCCTTCTGGAAATGATTGTATATTTGTTATTCATACCTTCTTCAGGGGTTACTTTTTAGCTGCTGCAAAATACAAAAACAAAAAACAAAGGAGTCATTTTCAGGTTTTCAATCACATTGTGTTAGCAGTGGGTGGTATATAACATAAGTTATTGGTATAAAAAGACTTAAATCCATAGATTTCAATGGTTGTCCTGTGAGTATAACTTTGTTGGATATCACCCAGTGTGTCTAGATTTGTGCTTATTAGACAAAACAGTGGAAAATGGCTAACTTTGGGCAATCAGGCTTATTTTTATAATAGGAACCTAGGAAGCTATCTAGTACTGAGTCAGACCTACTGGTCCATCTAACTCTGCGTTCTCTGCACTGACTGCTGGCAGCTCTCCAGGGCTTCAGAGAGGAAGTCTCTCCCAACCCAACCTGGAGTTGCTGGGGATTGAATTTAGAACCTTCTGCATGCAAGGCTGATGCCAGACTACTGAGTTTACAACCTTTGCCTATACTTTATTGCAATTTAGGAATACTTTTTTTAAAAAAAACTAACTTTGAATTTTCATAATCTATTTCATAAGAGAATAGGTTGACTAAGCATGTTCAAGAAAGGATAGTGAGCTGACTGTTTCTTAATACTGACAGAAAAGCACCAACATTTTTCTGTTCCTCTAGCTGTCAGATTATCTGTTCAGCTTGTAGAAAGAGATTATCTTTTTTTAAAAATGGTGTGCAATCAGAAATAGTAAACGTTTGCTAAGCCCTGCTGTCTTTCCATTTATGCAACATTAGCTAATTTTGTCACTTCCTTCTAGGACAAAAGGGGTCCTAAACAATCTCAGAAGTTTATTGTTAATTCACATCCACTGTGTGTGGTGGAATTTTTGAGAAGTGTGCTTCAGAACACCCATTTAGGCTGCATATTTGACATTTCCTGTCCTGGAAGTTCAATAAGGAGGGTGCCTGTCTGAACTCAGCTGACCTTATTTCCATAAAATTGTGTGCACAATACTAAATTCATGGTTCCTGATGTATCCAAGCTGAGCATCCAAAAGTCAAAGGAGACTGCTAGCAATGTCTCCTGCAAAGACCTCCATTATCAGGGATATAAGAGATCACGAATTATTTACTGTCGAAAGTATTAGTGGTAGAGATGTGTGACTGCTCACCATCATCATCACCACCACCACCATCATTTTACGTCATGTTATAGGTGTGTTATTGGGACACAGGTGGCACTGTGGGTTAAACCACAGAGGCTGGGACTTGCCGATCAGAAGGTCGACAGTTCGAATCCCCACAACGGGGTGAGCTCCCGTTGCTCGGTCCCTGCTCCTGCCCACCTAGCTGTTCGAAAGCACGCCAGTGCAAGTAGATAAATAGGTACCGCTTCAGCGGGAAGGTAAATGGCATTTCTGTGTGCTGCTCTGGTTCGCCAGAAGCGGCTTAGTCATGCTGGCCACATGGCCCAGAAGCTGTACGCCGGCTCCCTCGGCCAATAAAGCGAGATGAGCGCTGCAACCCCAGAGTCGGCCATGACTGGACCTAATGGTCAGGGGTCCCTTTGCCTTTATAGGTGTGTTATTAGCTTCTTAAGTAAAGGAACTGAAGGCTGAAAAGGACTTTGTGATTGAAAAGCTATGTTTCTTTCACTGCTAACAGTTTTTATAAGAGTGTAGTGTCATGTAATAAACATGATGGTGCCATATATCAGCTTTTGAAAATTCAGAGAGAGAGACAAAAAGTTCATAGTTGTATCTCCTTTTCTACCACATGGCATTAACAATGACAGACTTAGAGATTACCTGAAGAATAATAAAATGTATTGGGGCAGTAAAGAAGCTCTGTGTTGAAAAAGTCTTCTGCAATTTAATTTAACTATTCTCCATCAATTACTGGAATAAATATTATCAAAGGGAAGAGAGAAAGTTCTCTTGAAATTATAATCAGCAGAGTACAGGGTTTGGGGTTATTGGTTTTTGTTTTTGTTTTGCTGTGATCACCCTCTTTTTGAGGTGCCCAAGGGCTGTTTGCGAGTGTTCTTTCTTTCATTCTCCAAATCATCTCACCAGTGGCCTGCATTTTTTAGTCTTCTTGAGTGCCTGCATTTCCTGGAGAAGACAACATGAGGCTGTTCCCTTCACTGGCCCAGCTTTGTAGCCCTCTTGAGTTTTTGTCTTGGTGAATTGTGTCATTGAGGTTGATAATGCCCTTTGCTTACCTGAATGGAGGATGGAGAAGGATACAGTGTGTATAGAAACTAGCCTGCTGTACAAAAGGCAGAAGTTACATTTGTTGTGCTCTGGCCCTGCCTGCCACTCACCTGTGGCACCCCAGAATGTTGCCAAGAAGGGAATTCAACCCCTGGGCTCAAAAGGGTTTACCACTCCTGGTCTGTGACTTTCAAATATCATAAGCACGGCTAGCCACTCTGTGGTACTGGGATATGTGGCAGCCATGTACATACAGGAGTTGACCCTGCCATAGAGACCAGCTTACGCTCTTCCTTGCCTCTCCTGTGTTGTACATTTCTTTACTCTTCAGTTCAGTAGACTAGAGACAAAACCAAATCAAAGGAAATTAAATGTGCATCATTCCATGAACTACTGTCATACTTTGGATGGCTACGATTTGCTGAGCACTTGCTAAAATGATTGGACACCCAATGTGCTGACGATTTAATATCATGTGAGTGTCAGAAGCTTTTTCAAAATGGATATCTGAAAATATCTTAGAATGTAGTAGGAAGTATATCCTAGTACAATAAAAGCCCCACTTTCTTTTTCTAGGTCCGCACCAGCATTCTGGCAGAACAGAAAGAGCCAAGGACAGATACTGGGGTAAGTATTAATTTCATTGATGAATATACATCATACTACTTGGTATACATTTTGCAAAGTTCTTATAGTCTTTGCGTTCAACATTATGCTCACCAGATGTTTATGACCTTCCTTTGTATATGCAAATTCTGCAAAATATCTCCTTGTCCATAAAACTGAAGACATAGCAATTCTTTGTCTTAGGATTTGTACAAAAGGTATATACACTATCTGTATGAATTGTTGATAAGTGGGTATAGTAAGGAAATGCTTTGGTGTTGTTGTTGTTTTTTAAAAAAATATTTTTCAATTAATAATATTCCAATTGGTAACAAATCAAATTATAATACAAACAATAAAACATTCCAAATTAAATAAAATTTCAATGGGGCTTCCCATGTTCTGGGTGTCGGGAGAGAGTCTCTTTCACTAGTTCCTGCATTCTTTTCTCTTGTTAGGAAATGCTTTCTTAAATGAACAAGGCAACATTAAATTACTTATTTTATTTAATAATGTTCCTAAAACTAATTATTATGAAGCTGGACATTAGGTTATTGCCATACCTTTCAATATAGGTTAAAAAGTTCAGTCTAACCCTTTGAGATTATTTCAAGAATAAGTTATGCCAATGTATTTGGGTTTTTTTGCTCCTGAACTTCACCCACCAAAAGTATTGCTGGTTTTTTTAGAATATTATTTATAGTATGCTGTGCCTCAGGATTCCTTCCCACTCCCTTTTTGTAGGTAATATCTTGGTTAGTTGGTTTATTGACCACACTTTAGTAAAAGTGCAACAAGGCAGTAAAATACAACAACAACCCCCCTCCACAAAATTAAGATAAAATAAATAAAAATACCAATTAAAGAATTAATAGATACTGACTGGTAAAAAGAAATTCACATTTCAAAGGCTGTCTGAATAATATAGTTTTCCAAAGGCATCTGAAAGAAGAAATAGATTATTCTTTTTAAAATATTAGCTGATCCTAAATTGCTACCTTATTATCCATAGTTTATTAGGGTATTCACATTGGAACAATGCAATGCCTTAGGGCTTGTCTGCTCTTCCACTTGTCCCATGCCTAGAAAGGGTCTGAGCAGTTTTCCCCTTGCCCCACTCCTTTCCCAGAGAAAACCCACTCTAGCTCTAAATCGGGATAAACAGCAATCTGTGGAAAACCAGATTGCCATTTGTTCCAACTGAGCAGTAAAGAGCAGTTTTCCTTGGGGGGGAACTAGTGGGAAATAGGAAGTGTGGATAGGCTCTATGTCTTCTTCTGACTCAGTGCCCTCCATCCCTTTTTCTAACTACAGTAATTTCATCTCTGATTAGCATGCCTTCTTAAATTTACTGAATCTCCTAAAAGCTGACATGGCCAACAGCCTGGAAACTTAGCTCCTCTTTCCACAAAGTTCTTTTGAAAAGGGCTTGAGTACCAATGGTAAATATCGCATCGCTGCACTTTTTTTGGGGGGGGGCAGTTCTGCCCATCAGAAGACATTAGTATGATTGCTTAGTGTCATGGACTAGCTGAATACAGCAGAGTGGTGCGAACCCCCAGGGGAAGAAGAGACGATAATGTGTGGTCAGAGGGAGGAGGAGTTATTGGAAACTGAAGAGGCAACAGGGTTTAGTGAGCAGGAAGAGGCTGGGGCAGAGAGCAGTCCAGACTCAGAGGAGGGTGGGCCAGGAGGCAGAGATGCGGTAGACAGCTGAGGAATCCAGGGAGTTTCCTCTTGCTGTGACCCACTCGCCTCCCCCCTGGTCTCCCAGAACACAAAAAGGAATGAAGAGGGTAGAGCAACGAGATACAAGACAATAAAGCCTTTGGAAAGGAACCAGGGGAGGAACCTTAGAGAGCAGTGGGAATTTGGGGACCTTCAATCCTTGCAGCTACCTCATTGGGGCAAGACCTACTGCTGCAACCACTAGTACTGAGCTGTTTCGTTTCTTTGAATAGTTAACTTCACTGACATTGGGTGCTTCACTGTTTTATTGCTGACCTAAGCCTGACTCCAGCTCCTCACACTTAGTTAATAATGGAGCAATGGCTCAAACAATCACACAGGAAAACCTTGTACAGAAATGTGCTCTATTTATCTTGCTAGTTTCTCCCCCCTCCCCAATTGCTTGTGTTCAGTATTGTTTTTCTATTCCTGTGTGAGAGCAGTAAACAAAAACAACAAAAGCGTTTCTGTATTCATATATTCTGGTTAGTTCAAAGCCCATGAGTATTTGGGACTCATTATTGACTTTGTGGGTGTAGGAGAGCTTGAGAAGTATCCCTGTGTCCAGGGAGACTAGAGGGGCCAGAAAGACTAGAATACATTCCTTAAGAACCACTCTAGAGGCAGATTCTACTTAGAAATAGATTAGTACTGTATAATAGAAGTGGTGGAAGCTTGCGAACCTCTGGGGCATGAGCCAGAGAAGTAAGTTCTGTAGGCCAATGCAAGACCCTATAAAAAAGAGGGGTTGGTAATCCTCATATGAGCAAGTTGTGGTATGACACGTTTGAATTCTCCATATAGTCAAAGATATCAAAAAGGTTATGATGGAAGCAAGATTTTAAACCATACATTTGTGGAGTGGGAACTGAAGAGGACTATTGCTAAACCAAGCATCTTGCAACCAACACACAAAAAAAGCCAGAGATCTTTGACAAGTTAACTTTTAAAATTGACTCTTAAAGAAAATAAAAAATGTGAAGAGGAAGAAGAGATGAAGATGCATTCGTTTTTGTTTTTTTGCACTGAACAGTTTGCATTGCACAAGGATGCAAATGGCTGCCACTGGTTCAGAGGCACAGAAAAATGTAGGTCAATATAACTCTTATCAGTATAGTTGGATGGATACATTTCCTTGCATCTGTACTAGAATTAAATTGGCCTTCCTGGAATGGAAATACAGAAATGAATGCTTCAAACAGTGTGATGAACTGGAGAAATGTAACATTGCTATTAATATCATGTTCTAAGTGCTACATAAAAATATCTCTGGAAAACAAATATGCTTATATTTGGCAAATAAGGATGATAGTGCCTCAGGGTTTGAGAAATTATTGTAGCAAGAAGAACAGCCTTAAGATTCTGCAGATTTAACATTACTTGTGATATAAAAACCCCATGAATAGGAAAAAATAAGCCCTGTGCTGAAAACAAAACATTCTTTTTTATAGCTGTACATGTTCAGCATCCTATTTGTCAGGCTGTCATTCTGTTTGCTTTTTTATGAAAAAGAGGTTCTTGCCTCAGCTTTACAAATTATTGATAATAGTGTCACTGATCTATGAAGGCATTCCCCCAGATAATAGATCAAGAGAGTAGTTTCCTATTTAATATTTCTCCCTTGTTACCAAGGAAAGATTTGCTGGTGTGAGGTTAAAAGATAAACCATTACAGCTTGAGAAATTAAATGAAGGTGCTTTCCTTCTTCCTCTATCCCACCTCATCCCACCTCTCTTCTTTTATTCCCTTTGGTTTCTAGCGAAGCTTCCTGGGTTGTGCTACATTTAAAGTAGGTGATTTGGTGAAATCAAAGGAGCAGCCACTGACACTCAGCCTGAGGTAGGTCTCTTGCTGTCAATAGCAAATCACGTCAAATTAACAACCTGTGACATTTAATGACTGTTGCTTGGCTGTGTTTTGAAACTAAAGGTATATATAATTGTCAATTTAATTTTATACTACTTGTTCCCCAAGTAAATCTGTTCTCAAAGCATTTCACATAAAAATCAAAGTCTAAATACAGTAATACAGTAAACAATACATAACACTATAAATGTAATAATCAACAATTAGTGGTTTGTTTCATTTTGCTTATCAGATATCTGTCTCAAGTGCTCCCATTCTTACAATGCACAAAGCTTAAGTCAACTACAGGATATTTAAGCATGTATTTTTGACCTGTGAATGTGTTTCATTTTATTTTATTTCGGCCTCTCCCTAACCCATAATGCTGCCAGTTTATTAAACATAGTTGAAAGTGAAATAGGGTTGTTGGCCTGCTTTCCCTTGCTTCCTTCTCTCCCCTCTTCGGGGTGAATTCCCTGCTCCTGTATCTGGCATGCTTTAATCATGGTTGAGCATTTCATAGGGTTAACCATAGTTGGTGTCATTGAACGTGTACCTCTAAACCAGGGGTCAGCAACCTTTTTCAGCTGTGGGCCGGTCCACTGTCCCTCAGACCATGTGGTGGGCCAGACTATATTTTGAAATATATATATATATATGAACAAATTCCTATGCCCCACAAATAACCCAGAGATGCATTTTAAATAAAAGGACACATTCTACTCATGTAAAAACATGCTGATTCCTGGAACGTCTGCGGGCCAGATTGAGAAGGCGATTGGGCCGCATCCGGCCCCTGGGCCTTAGGTTGCTTACCCCTGCTCTAAACCATGGTTAAAGGTAACAAGAAGAAAGTATGGAACAGTGGCACTTGGCCACTGTGAGAACAGGATGTTGGAAGATGGGTCTTTGGCCTGATATAGCAGGAATGCTCTTATGCTTCTGTATACGTGCTTCCATTGGGGGGGGGGTTTGGGGGGGTTGGTAATAAATAATAACTTGCTTAATTCCATCTGTTTATCCATACAGACCTGGATACATTTTTGGTTTAGGGACTGGAGTCTGAATTTGGGATTCATGAATATTTGACTTCTGCAAAAAAAATTAACAAATCAATTTTTGCAGGGATCTATAGTGAATTGAAGCTAAGTTGCAAACTCATCATTTTATTTAATATTTTTTTAAAGGAGAATTAAGTTGTGATGATGGAGGAAGAGCTACACAATTGTTAGGAACCAGAATAGTACCCCATCTGGACCAATTGCACCCAAGATTATAGGACATTAATTTAATACAGGCTTTTATATTATCTCTTCCCCTTTCCTCAAAGAATTGGACCCGATAACTGACTAATCAAGGAAGGAGCTGTGGAGGCCAGATGACTCACATCTTAGCTAATAGACATGTAAAAATTATCTATATTCTGGGCTCTGCTACAGCAGTGATGGCAATGAGTAATTTGTTCCTAACAGCTTCAATTATGTCTGCAAAGTGCCATCTTATGGAGTTCTTCTTGGTGATTAATGACTTGGTCAGTCAGCGCTATATCTACTGAGATGCCAATGAGTTTAGCATCTCCTTTGCAGGCAAAAGGATATGTATTTGACTGCTCTTGGGGGCTGCTTTTTAAATACACTCAGAATTTGAGAGGCTGGGGACACAGTTTTGGCCTGATTATTAGATCAGTTTCAATTGGTTTTGCCCTCTCTGAGTGATGAAAGCAGCTGGAACAGGACCTCACTACTTGCTAGCCAGGATAGATATATGCCCGGTGAGCTAATGGTATCCCACATGTGCCCCAAATTCAAACTTACTTTGAAATTGGATAGCTATATATATTGCTTCTACTGCTGTTCAGTTCCAGTTTAAATACTTGATGGGTTTTGTGTGCTGCTTAGGCCAACAGATTTTTTATTACCTCCAGTAGTACATGTTTAAGATATATACATCTTTATGGGCTATGGTTTAGCGGAATAGCACATGCTTTGCATGCAGCAGGTTCCAGGTTCATTTCCAGATAGGGCTGGAAGACACTGCCAGTCAGTAAACACACAGTTAATTGGACCAGTGGTCCAACTCAGTATAAAGCAACTTCTGCTTTATTTTTATTTTTGAGATACAACATGAAATTGAGAAGCTGTGGTTCAGAGATTCAAAGAATTCAGAGAGCATTAAATACGAATCATATTATGCATGCTTAATTGATGGCTAGGCTTTCAAAACACCTGCAGGTTTTTTTTAATGCATGTTTATTCCTCAGGAAATGCAATTAATATGGGGCTTCGCACTCTTTCTCTCCGCACAAATCAACTTTATTTATTCAGTTATATACAGCTAACATAGAATAGTTGTTTCTGGTAGTGACAAGCCAAAGTGAAGCAGATGGGTGTCATCTTGGCTCTATATACTTGGCAAAACATTAGAAAAGTGGAGATGAACTTTGGCAAAGTGTGTAATAGCATTTTATATTAGGGTGAACAAAAGGAATAGTAAAATCTGTTCAATGGCATTTTATTTATCACTAGAACTATCTGGAAGCAGAAAATCTGCAAAGGGTTTCACAGTTTTAATTGGTGAATCTGCATGGAAATGGCGGTTTACAGAATGAATTAAGGATTTTGCAATAAAAATAAAAACCTGTTCTTTTCATCAAGGATTGCTGCTAAGAGCAATGTATATATTTTATTAGACTGCAGGATTTAGTTGTGTGTATTGTGTTATGAGGGAGGGTAATGCTTGTGAAAGCCTGAGTGTCATAACTCAGTATGAACATGCAAATATGCCATCAGCTTTTCTTTTTTCTCTGGGTTCCTGAGTGGAGTGAGTGGAATAGTGATTGGCAACAGGGGCGTGTGATGGAATTCTGGGCAGAGTTAGAGTGAATGACAGGTAGAGTGTGCTGCTTGGAAAGCGAAAGTTCAAAAAGAGAGTGGCCTGGGAGACGAGGAAAAGGATGAAATGAGATAAGAGAGAGAGTGAAAGCATATGTAAAAGAGTTAGCATGGCTGCTAAGAATACGTTAGTTATTGTGAGATAGGCTACTCTGAATACTCCATATAAAGTGATTCCTTGCTTCAGGAATCTTGTTCTCCAGGTTCTTGTTCGGGGAAAAGGAAGTGAAATCTTAGGGCTTGCATGTAACCTGGAAGCAAGAAAGAGCTCTATTAGGTGGAAGGGGGAGTCAGTGGACTGAAATACAGTGGTACCTCGGGTTAAGTACTTAATTTGTTCCAGAGGTCCGTTCTTAACCTGAAACTGTTCATATCCTGAAGCACCACTTTATCTAATGGGGCCTCCCGCTGCCACTGCACGATTTCTGTTCTCATCCTGAAGCAAAGTTCTTAACCCGAGGTAATATTTCTGGGTTAGCAGAGTCTGTAATCTGAAGCGTATGTAACCTGAAGTGTATGTAACCCGAGGTACCACTGTAGTCTAAAGGAAATCAACAGATATGTGGCAGATTTCAATGGAACTGAAGGAGGCAAAAGAGCAGCAAGCTAGTATGGAAGAGAGATTCTACAATGAATAATGATGATGATGATGATGATGATGATGATGATGATGGTGTATTTATACCCAGCCACTCTGGGCAGCTTCCAACAAAAGGTTAAAAATACATTAAAACATCAGTCACTAAAAACTTCCCTAAACAGGGCTGCCTTCAGATGTCTTCTAAAAGTCAGATAGTTCTTTGACATCTGATGGGAGGGCGTTCCACAGGGTGGGCACCACTACTGAGAAGGCCCTCTGCCTGGTTCCCTGTAACTTCGCTTCTCAGAGTGAGGGAACTGCCAGAAGGCCCTTGGCATTGGATCTCAGTGTCAGGACTGAATGATGGGGGTGGAGATGCTACTTCAGGTATACTGGGCTGAGGCCGTTTAGGGCTTTAAAGGTCAGCACCAGCACTTTGAATTGTGCTCGGAAATGTACTGGGAGCCAATGTAGGTCTAAATTATACAAGAGTATTGCCAGATCCGTGCAGAGCTTGTCTGAGGCTGGGGGTGGAAGTCCTGTTAGAATAAAATTATGAATAAAAACCAAAAAAGCTGGTCCCTGGCAGGGCCCCTTGACCAGCTTATCCTACTGAGACAGACTCTCCTCCTGCAAGAGAGGGGAGTGGTTGTGGTCGGGAGCCGGACTCCGCCTCAAGCAGGGGGCGTTATCCCCCTGCCTCCCACTCACCTGGCTGGCACCCACGCCCACGGGCAGGCACCCAACAAAGTGCCTGCGAGGGGGCGTGTTTAGCAGCCTAAATTGCTGCAGCACCAGCCTTCTGGCCTCACTTTTCGTCGTCCTGTCGCAAGTCACCCACCCTCCACTCCCTTAGAGCTCAGGGTCTCAGTTTTCTTTTGGCCTTGCTATGTACCTTAGGTTGGTCGCCCTGGTTGTCCGGGGGGCCTGGTAGGAATTTTTCCATTTGGCATTAGGCTTTTTGGTTTTTTCGCCTACCTCATATCAATCGTCACAACTTTCGTGGTATTGGTGGGTAGGTTAGGCATTGGAATAATGTGTTGTGGTGTCGAAGGGCTAGGTGTGGCCATCGCCTGCGCCTTCAATTTTGGGTATTCCGTTAAAGGAATCCAGCGGTCGTGTATTCGTGGCGGGAGGCCATGGCACGACCCTCGGTGACATCAGGGGAGAGCTTATAGTTGGATTAGCATCAACAGGCTCCACCTACTGGTGAATAAACCCCCCTGTTTTAGACTCACCCCTCTCTGAGGGGGTGGAGTCAGCTGACGTAATCCAATGCCTAAGCCAATACCTTTTCACTTGCTGCAATCAATAAAGTTGTGGCCTTTTCTTGCCCATTAACCTTATATCACGTGTCCTTGTGTTTTCATTCCACTACGCGGGGATCGGGTCCTCGAACCACAACCAGGACAAGTGTACCAACCTCCCCCCATACCTCTGCACAGATCTGAGTATTGCTAGTGAATAGGGGGAGAAATCACAATAAATTTTATCATGTTTTATAGGGGTTGCACAGATTTCTG